TTAGCTGGGCATGGTGGTAAGTGCCTGTAGTTCCAGCTACTTGGGAGGCTGAGGCAGGAGAATTGCTTGAACCCAGGAGGTGGAGGTTGCAGTGAGCCGAGATAGTGCCATTGCGCTCCAGCCTAGGTAACAAGAGCGAAACCCTATCTCAAAAAAAAAAAAAAAGACCCACCCAAAACTAGCTTTATTGATTAATATAGTTTGTTTCAATAATTTTTTTCTTTGCAGAGTAAAACTTTTTTTTTTTTTTTTTGAGACAGAGTCTCACTCTGTTGCCAGGCTGGAGTGCAAGTGGCATGATCTCAACTCACTGTAGCCTCTGACTCCTGGGTTCAAGTGATTCTCCTGCCTCAGCCTCCCGAGTAACCGGGACTACAGGCACATGCCACTAAACCCAGCTAATTTTTTGTATTTTTAGTAGAGACGGTGTTTCACCATGTTGGCCAGGTTGGTCTTGATCTCCTGACCTCATGATCTACCTGCCTCGCCTCCCAAAGCAGTGGGATTACAGGCATGAGCCACCATGCCTGGCCTTTAACACTGTTCATTTTTAAGAGAATTTAAAAACAACTGAAACCATCATGATTTTTTCAAAATGAGGGTTAATCTTGGATTACAAAAGGCTGTCTCTCATCCTAGGACTTCTTTTGCAAATTGTATTTTAGGGACTGGAGTTCTGGCTCTGTCACTTGAAACAGTCTTAAAACTGGATCTGACAGCCCAGAAGCTTATTGGAGGAACCTGGCTGGGATGGGGGAAGGAGACAGAGGAACCAAACAGATCACTCTTGTCCTCCTCTATTTTTGCCATTCTGGGTTGTCTCATTGCTGTCACCTGCCTAGTGTCTGGCTGGTGTCGAACCTGGCTGGCCCTGTCTACCTTGCTGCCCTGGCCTAGGAATAGATAGAAATTCTCAGGGTCTTGAGCAATCTGGGTTTTAGGGAATATTTTTGAGGGCTGAAAGAAGCTTCTGTTCTTAAAGAGCTTTGGTTTGAGTAGGTTTGGAATGAAAACAAGGCTCAGATCTGCTGGGAGGTAGAAGATTTCCCTTTAATTATTGCATCTATTGGCCCGTTTCTACTTGAACAAAGCTGGGAGAGTGAGGAAGAATTGACATTCTGAGTGTGTCTTATGGGAAGCAAAAACATTTATTGGGCTTGTTGTGTCAGATCGTGTGTGTATGTGTGTGTGTTTATGTATGTTATTCCATTACTGTATTACATGCTTAACTAAAGTCACTACAGAAATTCTGACAGTAAGCAGGAGGAATAGGAAGATAATCTTTTTTTTTGAGACAGAGTCTTGCTCTGTCACCAGGCTGGAATTCAGTGGTGCGATGCTGGCTTATTGCAACCTCCGCCTCCTAGGTTCAAGTGATCCTCCCACCTGAGGCTCCAGAATATCTGGTACTGTAGGTGTGCACCACCATGCTTGGCTAATTTTTGTATTTTTTGTTTATTAGAAGTGGGGTTTCATCATGTTGTCCAAGCTGATCTCAAACTCCTGGCTTCAAGTGATCTGCCGGCTGCCTTGGCCTCCCAGAGTGCTGAGATTACAGGCTTGAGCCACTATGCCTGGCCAAGATACCGTTTTATTACTAAAAAAAGTTTTATCTGTTAAGCTGAGTAGTCTCTTCATGTACTGTTTAGGTAACAACTATTTGTTGGGCCATGTGCTATCACACATGCCTGTCTGTAGTCCCATCCCAGCCCTTTGCTGAGGTGGGAGCATTACTCGAGCCCAGGAGTTTGAGGCTACAGTGAGCTATGATCTCACCACTGCACTTTAACCTGGGTGACAGAGTGAGACCCTGTCTCTAAAAAAGAAAAAAAAAATTGAACGTGACCTAGATATCAAAAGACGCATTTCCAACACACTGGATTGTAAATCTGGTTGGGAAGATACTATGCAGAATATTGGGTGTTATGAAAAGCAGTGTGGGGGAGTGGAAAGAGCAGATATGTGCCAAGCCTATTTTTATTTGATCTTTGACCTTAAACAAATAACCCGAGTCCCAGTTTTCTCATTTGTGAAATGGGGATAATATTAAATACTTTGTAGGTGTGGCTGTAAGACTTTTTTTAAAGATTTAATACACCTAAAATGGTTGGAACATAATAGATACCCAAGAAATGGTAGCTACTATTATTGTTAGTACAGAGCATAGGAGTAAGACCATTTAAACACATGAGAATGTGTTATATTTGGGCTGGGTGTGGTGGCTCACGCCTGTTATCCCAGCACTTTGGGAGCAAGGTGGGTGGATTACCTGAGGTCAGGAGTTCAAGACCAGCCTGACCAACATAGTAAACCCTGTCTACTGAAAGTACAAAAATTAGCCGGCCATGGTAGTTCATGCCTGTAATCCCAGCTATTCAGGAGGCTGAGGCGCAAGAACTGCTTAAACCCAGGAGGCGAAGGTTGCAGTGAGCTGAGATTGTGCCAGTGCACTCCAGCCTGGGCAATAGAGTGAGACTCCATCTCAAAAAAACAAAAACATAGGCCGGGCGTGGTGGCTCAAGCCTGTAATCCCAGCACTTTGGGAGGCCGAAGCGGGTGAATCACAAGGTCAACAGATCGAGACCATCCTGGTCACCATGGTGAAACCCTGTCTCTACTAAAAATACGAAAATTAGCTGGGCATGGTGGCACACGCCTGTAGTCCCAGCTACTTGGGAGGCTGAGGCAGGAGAATTGCCTGAACCCAGGAGGGCGGAGGTTGCGGTGAGCCGAGATCGCGCCATTGCACTCCAGCCTGGGTAACAACAGCGAAACTCTGTCTCAAAAAAAACGTAAAAACAACAAAAAAATAATCTATTATGTTCCAGTCATATTGCCATTTCTTTTTTTTTTTTGAGACAGAGTTTCACTCTTGTTACCCAGACTGGAGTGCAATGGCGCGATCTCGGCTCACCGCAACCTCCACCTCTCCTGGGTTCAGGCAATTCTCCTGCCTCAGCCTCCCGAGTAGCTGGGATTACAGGCACGCGCCACCATGCCCAGCTAATTTTTTTGTATTTTTAGTAGAGACGGGGTTTCACCATGTTGACCAGGATGGTCTCGATCTCTTGACCTTGTGATCCACCCGACTCGGCCTCCCAACATATTGCCATTTCTTCACACATGCTTTTGATGTTACCTTGTACTTGGTGGCAAATTTTCATCTTTTAAGAGTGAATTTAATTTTTGGAAATGACCAAAAAGTAGATTCAGACATAGGTATGAATATTTTCATTGGTGGTGGTGGCGGGGTGACCTCAGAAATGAAATGTGACCATCACGTAATAGTGTTTATAGCTGTGTCTGATAAACTTGATTTGGAGGCAGTTCCAAAGGAGGTGTTTGCAATGTTTGAGCAATGAGACTGTTACTGGACATATGTAACTTCCCACGATGAATCTGCTGTACATAATTTGAAAATAGCTCGTCGATATTAGAGTAAGTGACATAGCCTATATATGCTGTGGGACAGCAGAGGTGGAGGGACTCAGAAGAAAATGGATTACTTTGGGAAAGCCTTTAGACCAGGAGTCCCCAAACTTTTTACACAGGGGGCCACTTCACTGTCCCTCAGACCGTTGGAGGGCCGCCACATACTGTGCTCCTCTCACTGACCACCAATGAAAGAGGTGCCCCTTCCTGAAGTGTGGTGGGGGGCCAGATAAATGGCCTCAAGGGACCGCATGCGGCCCACAGGCCGTAGTTTGGGGACGGCTGCTTTAGACGATGGGACTTGGACTGAACCTTGAGGATAGGTAGGATTTGGTAGAGGGGAATCACAAGAGCAGAGCATATAATTTGGTTTATTCAGCAAACATTGAGCACCTGCTGTGTGCTGTAAATTTGGCTGAACTTGGGAAACCAGAGGGAGGAACTGCTCTGACGTCGAGTACACAGTATACTGGGGAAAAAGTACATAGAATAAATAATTATCACAGTCTATTAAAGGGGTACATACACACGCTGCAATGGAAGTGCAAAAGAGGGTACCTAACCCAGCCTGGCAATAAGGAGGAAAGAGGAGGACAAGCTCAGGCTGATGGGCACGGTAGAGTACTGTGTAAGCAAGGCTTTGAGACTTTATTTATTTATTTGCTTATTTATTTATTGGAGATGTAGTCTTGCTCTGTTGCCCAGGCTGGAGTGCAGTGGCACAATCTGGGCTCACTGCAACTTCCACTTCCCGGGTTCAAGTCATTCTTGTGCCTCAGCCTCCTGAGTAGCTGGGACTACAGGCATGTGCCACCATGCTGGGCTAATTTTTTATATTTTTAGTAGAGACAGGGTTTCACCACGTTGGCCAGGCTGGTCTCAAACTCCTGAGCTCAGGCAGTCCTCCCTCCTCGGCCTTCCAGAGTGCTAGGATTATAGACATGAGCCATCATGCCCAGCCAGGGTTTGAGACTTTATGATTTAGGCAGTGCAAAACCTTTGAAAAGGCTGAACGTAGTGTTTCATGCCTGTAATCCAAGCACTTCGAAGGCCAAGCGGGGGCGGATCACCTGAGGTCGGGAGCCCAGCCTGCCCAACATGGTGAAACCCTGTCTTTTTTTAAAAAAAAACAAAACAAAACAAACCTTTGAAAAAACTTGATTAAGTTTTTAGGGAGATTAGTGATTCGGTGTTATGCAAAATGAATTTGGAGGGGTAAGAGATGAAGCAGAGAGAACATTCGGAAGGTTTTTGCAGTAGAACAGGCTAAATTTAAGAAAGACCTGAATTAGAATTGTGGAGGAAGGCATGGAAAAGCAGGGAAAAAAAATCAAGAACAAATAAGAGTTGTTGACTGACTGGTAGGAAATGTAAAAAGGCCAAGCATTTATTCTGAATGTTGGTATCTGGAAGAATGGTGATGTATTCAAGTAATAAGGATGAGGGGGAACCAGGCAGTGTGAGCCTCTGTGGGGCATGTTACTCTTTTAGCTCATGTGTTTCAAGTCGTTCTACAGCCCCTTGCCATCTCCACATCCAAAACTAACTACTTTGGATTTTAATTGCAGCTCCACCACCCCCACCACCTGTAATCCGAAATGGTGCCAGGGATGCTCCCCCTCCCCCACCACCATACCGAATGCATGGGTCAGAACCCCTGAGCCGAGGAAAGCCCCCACCTCCACCCTCAAGGACGCCAGCTGGGCCACCCCCTCCTCCTCCGCCACCTCTGAGGAATGGCCACAGAGATTCTATCACCACTGTCCGGTCTTTCTTGGGTGAGTAGCTAGCTATCTGTAGTCTCATGGTTCCTGCATTGACTTCACTCACTCCAGTGCCATGGCTGCCAGATGGCCACCACAGAGCAGGAATGGCCACATGGGCTCCTTTGTTCGCAACAGTTCCTCTGCTGACTTTATCCACAGATGTATGGGCTATATTCATTGACTTCCTTATCTTTATGTGAATTCTAAGCATGGATGCTTTGGAACAGATTGAAGTAAAATCAGCAAGTGTTGTGCTAACTCTAAAACCACTACAAAGATCAGTTTTTGTGGCTAGCTTTTAGGTCAGAGATTCTGTATCTTGAAGATTATTCAGACAGGGCTTATGTATCCTCCTAAGAAGGAGAGTTCCTTTCTGGCTCTTCAAAAACAAAACACTTGATTGTTCTTGGAATTCTTTTTTTTTTTTAATTATTTTTTGTAGAGACTAGGTCTCACTCTGTTGCCCAGGCTGCTGTCAAACTCCTGGGCTCAAGCAGTCCTTCAACCTTGGCCAAAGTGCTGGCCAAATAGCCATGTGAGCTATCACACCCAGCTTCTCCTTGGAATTCTTGAAAAAATATAAAAAAGTCCCATGGTACATTGCCTGGAAAGAAGAAAGAATAACAAAAAAATATTAAAGAAAAAAGGAGGCCGGGCGTGGTGGCTCAAGCTTGTAATCCCAGCACTTTGGGAGGCCGAGGCGGGTGGATCACGAGGTCGAGAGATCGAGACCATCCTGGTCAACATGGTGAAACCCCGTCTCTACTAAAAATACAAAAAATTAGCTGGGCATGGTGGCGCGTGCCTGTAATCCCAGCTACTCAGGAGGCTGAGGCAGGAGAATTGCCTGAACCCAGGAGGCGGAGGTTGCGGTGAGCCGAGATCACGCCATTGCACTCCAGCCTGGGTAACAGGAGCGAAACACCGTCTCAAAAAAAAAAAAAAAGAAAAAGAAAAAAGGATCGGGTACAGTGGCTCATGCCCGCAATCCCAGCACTTTGGGAAGCCAAGGTAGGAGGATTGCTTTGAGCCCAGGAACTCAAGACCAGCCTGGGCAACATGGTGAAACTTCATCTCTTCATCTCTCTAAAAAATACAAAAATTAGCTGGATATGGTGGCACACACCTGTGGGCCTGTGGTCCCAGCCACTGCACCCCAGCCTGGGCAACAGAGCAAAACTCTGTTTCAAAAAAACAAACAAACAAACAAAAAACTTGCTGGGTGCGGTGGCTTACACCTGTAATCCCGGCACTTTTGTCGGGAGTTCAAGACCAGCCTGCCCAACATAGTAAAACCGCATCTTTGCTAAAAATATAAAAAAAATTATCTGGGCATAGTGGCACACATCTGTAATGCCAGCTACTTGGGAGGCTGAGGCAGGAGTATCGCTTGAACCTGGGAGGTGGAGGTTGTAGTGAGACAAGATCATACCACTGCACTCCAGCCTGGGTGACAGAGCAAGACTCCATCTCAAAAAAAAAAAAAAAGATCAAAAGCAAAACCCAAAACATTACTCAACATTAATCAAAAGCCACTAACTAACTAACTGTGTTATTTTGAGGGTGTCATGTTACTTCTCTGGGCCTCACTTCGTTTATTTGTAAAATGAGGTTGACTAGTCAGAAGTGTATCAGATTAACTTTCCAAGATTATAAATGTTGGGGGCCCTACCTAAGAGATTCTGATTCCTTAGTTCTGGGATGTAACCCTAAGTAAAGGTTGTCCAGAGGCTAATGTTAGACCTCTCTGTTGAGGACCTCTGGAAAATCTCTAAAAGGTCCCTTACAGCCTTCACACTCTAGATTTTTTTTTTTTTTTTTTTAATTTTAAATACAGGGTTTCGCCATGTTGGCCAGGCTGTTCTTGAACTCCTGACCTCAGGTGATTCGCCCGCCTCGGCCTCCCAAAGTGCTGAGATTACAGGCATGAGCCACCATGCCTGGCCTAGATTTTTTTTTTGAGACAGCATCTTGCATTGTCGTCCAGAGTGTAGTGTAGTAGTGCACAGCTCACTTCAGCCTCAACCTCCCAAGCTCAACAGATCCTCCCACCTCTCCCTTCCAAGTATCTGGGACCGCAGGTGTGTGCCACCATGCCTGGCTAATTTTTTTTTTTTTTTTTTTTTGAGGAGGGGAGATGAGGTTTCGCTATGTTGCCCAGGCTGGTCTCAAACTCCTGGGCTCAAGCTACTCGCCCACCTCAACCTCCCAAAGTGCTGGGCTTATAGGCGTGAGCCACCATGCCCAGCCTCTAGATTCTTCAATGGTTGCTGTCCTTACCTACCCCATCCTTCATGTTCTGGTCTGTTCCTTTTATGTAGACCAGGGTTTTCAATTTAAAGATATATCCTTATCGTAGAAACCTTTGGGATGTGATCAAGACACATGTATAGAAAATTTGAGCCTTCTTATGGAGCAGCCATAGAAAGTAGGAGTAGAAGCCATGAGATGGCTGTCCCAGGTGTAAAAGTGAACATAACATGGGCTGACAGGGAATTATCGGGTCAAATCTCTCACTAGCTGGAGATGAATATTCCCATTTTAAATTAATTTCTACCAATTTCTGGATTTAGTTCAGTTGTTTTCCCATGGTGACAGCCCCTAAGTTGTTATTAAAACAGAATTATATTTCTTTCTGCTACCATGTAAATAGCTGGGGTCCTTTCCTGTTCTGTCCCTGATTTGGTGGAAAGGTTTAAAGATTCATCTCAGGCCAGGCATGGTGGCTCACACCGGTAATCCCAGCACTTTGGGAGGTCAGGTGAGCAGACTGCCTGAAGTCAGGACTTTTGAGACCAGCCTGGACAAGATGGCTAAACCGTGTCTACTAAAAATACGAAAAACTAGCCAGGTGAGGTAGTGGGCACCACTGCACTCCAGCCTGAGTGACAGAGACTCCATCTCTTTAAAAGAGAATGAGCTCAAAGATGCACTGCTTAGTACAGAGAAGTTTAGATACATGCTCTGTGCATGCAAGGCACATGGGGTGCTGCTGCTGCTGTTCTCAGGGCTGTTGGTTTGGTGGTGTGGTAGGTCCTCAGAGTACCTCAGAATGCCTGAGAGATTAGCACGTGGGGAGGGTCGAAGTGGTCAGAAGCCTGTGGGAGCACAAGCAAGGATGTTAGGAATTCATACTCTGTTCTTTTCGCAGACGATTTTGAGTCAAAGTATTCCTTCCATCCGGTGGAAGACTTTCCTGCTCCAGAAGAATATAAACACTTTCAGAGGATATATCCCAGCAAAACAAACCGAGGTGAGAAGAGTAGTAAAAAGGTTTTTCCATAATTGCATAGCACGTAGAATTTGTGTGTTTTCTTAGGTTAAAATTTGCTTCTTGCTAGGTGGAGTGGCTCACGCCTATAATCCCAGCACTTTGGGAGTCTGAGGCGGGCGGATCACGAGGTCGGGAGTTCAAGACCAGCCTGACCAACATGGTGAAACCCCATCTCTACTAAAAATACAAAAATTAGCCAGGTGTGGTGGTGCATGCCTGTAATCCCAGCTACTCAGGAGGCCGAGGTAGGAGAACTGCTTGACCTGGGAGGCAGAGGATGCAGTGAGCCGAGATCACACCACTGCACTCCAGCCTGGGTGACAGAACAAGACTCTGTCTCAAAAAAAAAAAAAAATTGCTTCTTATCATCTTCATTGTCGGCTCACTCTAACCTCTGCCTCCCAGGATCAAGTGATTCTCCTGCCTGAGCCTCCTGAGTAGCTAGGATTACAGGTGTGTGCCACCATGCCCTGCTAATTTTTGTAATTTTAGTAGAGACTGGGTTTTGCCTTGTTGGCTAGGCTGGTCTCAAACTCCTCACCTCAGGTGATCCGCCTGCCTCCCAAAGTGCTGGGATTACAGGCATGAGCCACCATGCCCTGGACTCTCATCTTCATTTTCTTTTTTTTTTTGAGACTGAGTTTTTGTTCTTGTCACCCAGGCTGGAGTGCAATGGCGTGATCTCGGCTCACCGCAACCTCCGCCTCCTGGGTTCAGGCAATTCTCCTGCCTCAGCCTCCTGAGTAGCTGGGATTACAGGCAGGCGCCACCATGCCCAGCTAATTTTTTGTATTTTTAGTAGAGACGGGGTTTCACCATGTTGACCAGGTTGGTCTCGATCTCTCGACCTTGTGATCCACCCGCCTCGGCCTCCCAAAGTGCTGGGATTACAGGCTTGAGCCACCGCGCCCGGCCTCATCTTCATTTTCTTAAGCAAAATAATAAAACCTAGTCCCCAGATTTTAAAGGTTAGCTTAAAGAACTTGTCTCTCGGCCGGGCGTGGTGGCTCACGTTTGTAATCCAAGCACTTTGGAGGCCAAGGCAGGTGAATCACCTGAGGTTGGGAGTTCAAGACCAGCCTGACCAACATGGTGAAACCCTGTCTTTAAAAAAGAAAAAAAAAAGAACCTGTCTCTCATTTTAGGAATGTGTAGGTTGTTCAGAGTCTGGTGGATGACCTCTATGTGTGTGGTTTTTATTTTGTTGTTTTTTTTTTCAGCTGCTCGTGGAGCCCCACCTCTGCCACCCATTCTCAGGTGAAGCCTGGCTTGGTTCTGTTCCTCAGGAAAAGGATGGACCTTCTCTTCTTCTCAGATGGTCCCTTCCATTCCCCTGAAACCTGCATGAGAGCTCCTAACATGTTTCTCCAGTGCAACCAACCCCTAGACTCCAAGCATCCTCCCAGCTCACCTCCATCTATGCATCTCGTCTCTGGATTTGGTGATCGGACTCTTTATATTGACAATAGGATCTCAAACCCTGCATCCATCCTTCCTCCAGCAAGCCCTGCTAGCCACGAGGAACAAGTTTCCATGTCTCCTGCTTTTCTCTTGGGGAAAGGTGCCTTGTTGTGATGAATTAACTCGTTGGGGCAGGGTGGAGAATGGTAGCCCTCCCTTCTCCTGTCCACTGTGGGGGATGCTTGGCAGATATATTGTATTTCATCATTTCGGAGGCTGGCATGACCAGGACTTATGGGTGGGAGGGGAGCATTTTTAGCGAAGCAAGAAAGGAGTTTGCCGAGAAGTGATCTGTTTTAAAGGTCAAATTTGGAGAAAGGGCAAGGAAATGGGTCTGCTTTATTTTTAGAAGTATTTTGTTTTTGTTTTCACCTGCGGTCCCCTGCCCCCCGCCCCCTCCTGCCCCCCGCCCCCTGCAGGGATAAGTTGGGTATAAACACTAAATACTAATCAGTTGAACTTAACATTTAATAAAAAAAGAGGGTGAAATAAACTGAGGACCATTTTAGAACTAGTCACTTCTCTGCAGCAAAGGGACCAGGAGCCATTTGAACCCTCTGGGACCCTGCCGCCCCACTGCCTCAGGATGCTTGGCTGAGGGATGTTTTTCTCCCGCTTACCACCCATGCCCTCAAAAGAAAAGTCACATTTTGTGGAGGGCATCATTCATTCCTGATTCACAAACCCCAAAAACCTCTGGTGGGAGATAGGAAGATAGGGCGTGAGCCTGGGCTTTACCTCAGTCTTGAGTCTGCTTCAGTCTTTTGACTGGCCCTGAAGTGGTTGGTGCCCCTTTCTGTCCTTCAGCCCCTGGAAGGTGTTCCAGGATAACAAATAAGGGCAGGTTGAAGCCCCTCATGGAAGGAGCTGGCTTTGTGGGGATGCAAAGGACTTTAAGTCCTGCCGGTACTGTTCACAGCCCACCTGACTGAGCAGACTCTTCCTGTTCCTTTCGCTACCACCCTTGCCTTCCCAGGACTGCACAGTTTAACACAGCAGAGTACAGAAGGGTGAGGAAGTAAGCAGAGGCTTTATTCAGGTATTCCTCTATGCCAGGAAGCACAGACTTTGAGGTTTGCCTCAGTTCGGTAGATCTTCCCTGCAGCCAGCCATAGGTTGTTTCTTTGTCTTCCAGGTCCTAGTTAAAGAGCACAGAAAAGGTGGAGGTCCCCAGTCTAGGTAGGAATTAGACTACCTAGACTAATTGGATGATTGGGTGAGGACTTCTTTTTATCCAACAACAGGATAGAGCTCCTGGGCTCAAAACACCAGATGCTTTGGTTTGCTAGAACTCTTGCCACGTGTAAGGCCGCTTAGAGTGTGGCATGAGAACGAGGAGACCATGGCTACTCTTTGAAATGGATGGGGAAAATTAACTTAACAATTTAATCACATCACAGGCTTAAACTGTCTTAGGGACCTTTCCAGTTGACCGGGTCACAGGCTAGGGATCTGTGCATGGTGCCGGGTGGAATCTAAGTCTTCCCAGCGCTAGGTGAGGGAGGGCTCAACGGGGGTACTGTGTATGGGGTCTGCTGTCCTTTACCATCCCCTGGACCACATCAACTCTGGGACAGACCATGTTTAGGTCTGTCACCAAACTGTTCCTAATCGTTCTTTATGTATCATTCTTCCTTCTAATCTGTTAGCAGTTATCTCCCAGAAGTATCCCTAGCATCCTGCAGTAAACAGAACTGCCAGGTGTGGTGGCTCATGCCTGTAATCTCAGCACTTTGGGAGGCCAAGGTGGGCAGATCACCTGAGGTCAGAAGTTCGAGACCAGCCTGTCCAACATGGCGAAACCCTGTCTGTACTAAAAATACAAAAATGAGCTGGATGTGCTGGTGTGCACCTGTAGTCTCAGCTACTGGGGAGACTGAGGCATGAGAATCGCTTGAACCTAGGTGGCAAAGGTTGCAGTGAGTGGAGATGGCGCCACTGCATTCCAGCCTGGGTGACAGAGTGAAACTCCAACTCAAAAAACAAATTTAAAAAACCCTAACAGAGCGGCCGGGCGCGGTGGCTCACGCCTGTGATCCCAGCACTTTGGGAGGCCGAGGCGGGTGGATCATGAGGTCAAGAGATCGAGACCATCCTGGTCAACATGGTGAAACCTGTCTCTACCAAAAATACAAAAAATTAGCTGGGCATGGTGGCGTGTGCCTGTAATCCCAGCTACTCAGGAGGCTGAAGCAGGAAAATTGCTTGAACCCAGGAGGCAGAGGTTGCGGTGAGCCAAGATTGCGCCATTGCACTCCAGCCTGGGTAACGAGAGCGAAACTCTGTCTCAAAAAAAAAAAAAAAGAAAAAAAAACCCTAACAGAACTGAAAGGGGATGCTAGTAGAGGGAAAAGAGAGTACAAGAGTTGATAACTGTGCAGAGTTCCAGGGCAGATACTGACAAGTGACTGAACTTCGACTGTGAAGTCTTCCCATTTATTTTTGAAATGGGAGTCAATGCCTTTGTACAATATTATCGGAGTGTGTCTTTTTTTTTTTCCTCCTTTTACTCAGACATAGAGCATCACAATATCACAGTAAAGCCAAACCCCAGCTTTTCACTGGGGCTGATATCATCCTCCCCATGACCTGCTGCCCCTCATATTCCACAGTACTTGGACTGTCACATGGGTATTGATTGTATACTTGTCTTGGTCTCATGCAAAAAGGCCTGGGTCTAGATCTAGTCAGATGGATTTTCTTTTTCAGAGCATGTTGATGACACAATACCTGTTTAAATGTCTTTGCCTTATACATTATTTGGTCCCATTGTTAATAATAGATTTATTACCATGTATATTTACTACTGAAGATGGGAATGTGATCTGCATAGTTATCGGTCTATTTTGTATGTTGTAAAAAGCTTCTAGGTTTAAGGTTGCTGGCTACAAGAGCACTAAAACTCCTCACCGTTAAACTGCTCTTTTTATCTGCTTGTGGGAATGTTGTCTCTTCTGTGGAAGATTGGGTGGTCTCATGTTGAGGCTGTTGCCCAGTCCAATTAACTCCCTTGTCCCCTTCCAGAAGGAAGAGACATTGCCCAACTAAGCACTAGGAAGCTGTGTTAAAAGCCCTTGTATGGGTTTGATTTAGTGATGTTTTTCCCTAATGGGTAAAACTTTATAGTTTCTTACTGCCCTGACTGGGAAGCAGGGCGGTGGCCTCCAGGTTTTTAAATGAGCTAGACGCCTCTCTTCCCCTTCTCTGGTCACCGAACCTGGACCAAAGCACTTTGATATTCCAGGTGTGATTTCCTCTGTGGTGGGGATTTGCTCCAGCTGCAGAGCCCCATCATTTTCACAGCCTAGGCCAGCAGAGTGAGAACCTAGGGCTACCCTATTTGACGGATGTGCGGCTGCTGTCTCCAGGAGCTCATCCCAGCCCTCCTAACTGGCAGCGGCAAGGAGACCCGTCACCAGCCGTTGCACTGGGGAACTCCCTCACCGCATGGCTTCCCAACTTGAATCCCAGATTTACCTCCAGGGAGAGGTGAGAAAAAAATTGTAAATAGACTTGCTACAGAGCAACTCAGGGTTGGGGTGTGTTTTAATTCTCCTGATCACTTGAAATAATCTGTAGGCCGAGTGCTTATGGGAGTGGGGGAGAAGTGCGACTCCAGGGTCCTTCCCTTCTGTGAAGCTCTGGGGGTGGAGTGTGGGCATCTGAGGCCCTATGATGGCACTACACTGAGCTGTCTGTCCTTCCGGAAACCCAACCTGCAATCAACTGCAAATCAAATTCTTCACATTCCAGTTACAGTCTTTCTTTCCCCATTGAATCTCAGTCCCTGGCCCTGTGGCCTAGGTGGCTTTCTGTTAAGCTACCCGAATTTAGGGAAAGGGAGGGGAGAAACGAGGGTCATTACAACTCTGCCTTCAAGACTTATCTCTTAAAAGGAAACAAAACTACAACCACCATCAAAACCACACGCAAGAAAAAAAAAAAAAGGATAACTTGAACCGAAGGAAGGGTTTGGTTCCATTCAACTCCACATTCATTGTGCCTTTACTTGTGTTAGATTTCTGTGCTTTCTTCCTCTCGCTCTTTGAAGCAATTAAACTCATCCTTGACAATTGCTGTTTCTTTCTACTCTTGTGTCTGGCAACTTAGTGGGTTCCTTCTCTAATTGTCTTAAATTTTATTCCACTGGTGGCAAGTGGGGCCTAGCCGCCTTTTCTCCTGTCTAATCTTCGTCCTTTCTCATGGTGCCCTGCATGGAAGTCACAGTCAACACTGAATAAATGACCAGAATGACACGTGTGTGTGCGTGTGTGTGTGTGTGTGTTCATCTGTCTGCATGTGGATCTATTTCTTTTAAAAAATAATTTATTGTATGATTTATTTTGGAGTTATATTCTGATTACAGTGCTCCCTCTCCCAAATACCATTAATTTCTTTTCCCCCTCTAAAAATGTGTAAAATCTGGTCTCAGGTTGGATTCTTTAGTACATTTACTTCTTCTGGATGCCGTGCAGTTTAATTAAACCTTGCTTAAAAACAAAAAGTGAAAATTGTGTACTCTTGTCTGGAATACTGCCTCAAGTGGTGGCACAGAGAGGGGAGAAAACCTTTGCTTCATAATTTGGGTAAGTGCAGTGGTTTGATTCCAGGTCTCTTAAAAAAGTAGATCTACTGACTTGGGCAGACTCATCTACAGCTTCCTGGGGGTCTTCTCTCTCCCCCTCCTGCTGTATTTTGAAAATTACAGTTCTAGTTGACCATGCTTGAAGGCTGACCCCTGTAATTCCAGCACTTTGGGAGGCCAAGGCAGGTGGATCACTTGAGGTCAGGAGTTTGAGACGAGCCTGGCCAATATGGTGAATCTCCATCTCTACTAAAAATACAAAAATTAGCTGGCATTGTGCTACTCGGGAAGCTGAGGTAGTAGAATCGCTTGAACCCAGGAGGCAGAGGTTGCAGTGAGCTCAGATCATGCCACTGCACTCCAAAAAAACCAAAATTACAGTCCTAGTTACTTTTGCTGACCAGGAGATTCTGATGGTCCTTATTTTATTCATTTATTTTTATTTTTATTAGCGACAGGATCTTGTTCTGTTGCCCAGGCGGGAGTGCAGTGGTGTGATCACAGCTCACTGCAGTCTCCCAACTCCCAAGCTCAAGTGATCCTCCCACCTGTCTGCCACATAGCTGGGACCACAGGTGTGTACCACTATGCCCGGCTAATTCTGAAAATTTTTTTGTAAAGATGGGGTCTCCCCATGTTGCTGAGACTGGACTCAAACTCCTGGGCTCAAGTGATTGTCCCACCTCAGCTCAAAGCTGGGATTACAGGCATGTGCTATGGTATGTGGCCAGTCCTTGTTTTGTATTTCCACTTAACTCCCCTTTGCCCATGATTTCAGGGAACCAAGGAGGCTTCCGGGCCCTGTGACCTTTTCCTTGAATCTCTTACAATTCTTTCTACCTGTGTTGCATGGCAGATTCTCAAATTGAGTAAAGAGTGAGGACAAAGCATACAGAATGTATGTATTGGTTT